AGTAAGGAGGGTGTGTGAGTCATATAAGTGTGTTATGTGCATGTATTCACATTTGTAAGATTTTGTTATATTTTTAGGAACAGACATTTTCATCTTTGTAATATATAACAATGTTATTATCCTCGACAGGTAATCCATAAATACCATTTTTGAAGCGAAGATTGTAAGAATGCCATCGGAAGACATGATGCACGTGATGGCTGTCATGTCAATATCCTCTGGCAAGGAGAAGCGGCGTCGGAAGGAGTAGGAGGACACGGATGAGCTTCCTTCTTCTCTCCTCTCCACACGACCCTCCACCACCACCTCCGTCTCGCCCGCCACCTTCACCTTCAGATCCCCGTTCATGAAGTCTTGGACGTCCAACACGATCTGTGAAAATATAAGGATGTTAAACGATAATCATAATACTTACATCTGGGTATCATATTCGAATTAATGAATATTCACATGAAGAACCCACATGTAAACAGTTGCAGTTAGATTGAAAAACAATTGGAGTTTAGTTGATCTCCAAAAGACGCTTAAACATATATTATTCGTAAGAGTGATTCTTGAACTACTTACTTTGTAACTAGTGTTGTCGGACGTGACGATAAAGACTTGGGTCTCTTCCTTCAATTCTCGGGATCGAAGCTGTCTGTAGCGGTCCAGGATATCGCTGTGACTAAGGCCAAGGAAGTCCTCACTGTGTGTCACTTCGCTGTCTTCGCTGACCCACTTCCTCAGGACCTCTCTGATGGCAGCGTCGAATTCTTGGCGGACGAGGAAAGGAGTCCTGGACGAAGCTTCCCCTTCGAACGATGGGCAAGATTTCCTCGCCCAGTTTGATGGCTTCAGTCGAATCAGATTCTGATTGCACAGTTGCTTGTTCCTGTTGTTCAGAAACTGAATCATCATAAGATGCTTTTTCAACGCTGTCGATTCAAGAGAAGCCATCATGATCATGATTATTGGCAACGTCTCCAGAAGCAGTTGTAGACTCATCCACAGACGGATTTGGCAGATCTTGGACTTAAACTTCCTTGGATTCAGCAGGAAATTCGAATTCTTTCTTCAGCTTTCTCGTCTTGTTCTCGTAAGAGTGTTTTCGTTCACACCCAAACTCCATCTGATCCACATTAACAAGATTCTCGTGAACAGAGATATTTTTCTCCGTCGTGGACGAAACTGCTTCGGGTGTTGAGTCTTGAGCTGTTGATGATTCCTTCCTTTCCTCGGTCGCGGAGAAGTTAACGCGTGTGTTTTGCTGTGGTTCTCCTGCCTGAATGAGAAATGAGAACAGCGTCATACTCATTTCTACGCATGCATAGACTAACTCAATGTTACATTGTGTGATTTTTCAGGTCTACATATTTTTTTTTAAACATGAGTGTGTAATGTAAAATAGTCTATTATCTTAAGTTATTTACCGTTTTAAGAGTAGTTATTGTGAGGATGCCATCCGAAGACATGACAGAAGTGATGCGTGTCATGTCAGTGTGATGAGGCAGGGAAAAGCGGCGGCTGAAGGACCGTGTCGAGACGGACGACCCTCCTTCCTCCTCCGCGCGCCCTTCCACCACCAGCTCCTCGTCGACGACTTTCACCTTGACGTCTCCGCGCATGAAGTCATGCACGTCCAGCACGATCTATGAGATTGAAATTGAATTGAATTTGCTTTAATTTTTTTAAGTTAATGAAAATATGGTCAAAATATAGTGATAGGACTGATGATTATCTTAATAATAACAATGTTGAAAGTGACAACAATGATAATAACACTAACAATGAAAAAATGGCATTGATAATGATATGAATATTGATAATTGCAATAATGATAGTAATGATAATGAAAGCAATAATGGTGATAATGAGAAAAAAAGAAAGAAAGAAGAGAAGAATCGGATAAATGATGAAGCCCATAATAGTATGTGAAGATATTCTGCGACCCTCAGTGAGTGCATATCAAGTATATAATCGTGTACCAAGAGAAAAACATCAAATACTTTGTAATCAATGAAAATATCTTGAATACTTTAGGCAATGCCGAGTGCTGATACACAGAGAGGGGACTGACCTTGAGGCTGCACTGTCTGACGAGACGCAGAAGGCCTGGTTCTCTTCCCTCATGTTTCGAGATCGAAGCTGCCTGTAGCGGCTCAGGATGTCACTGTGACTGACATCGCCTGTCAGCGTGAGGTCGGAGTCGTCGCATTTCTTCAAGATTTCCCTGACGGAGGCGTCGAAGTCTCGGCGAATGTCGGAAGAACGAGTCTTGCAAGAAGCTTCCTCTCCTCGCGATGGCCAAGGAATCGTCTTGCGAACTGCCAAGAGTTTCCTTTGCTTCCAGCGAGTCGGAAATTCTTGCGGAAGCAAAATCTGAGATCACACGACTGCTTCTGTGATGATATTTGGGTGTTGCTTGAGATACTGGAAGCTGCAGTTTGGGTCTTGTTCTCGTCGATCTTCTCCTGATGGCATCGTGTGGATTTGCGTTCCTCTGTTGGGCTGTGTGGGACGTTCTCTGGCCAGACGACGCTTCCTCAGAAACTCCCGAGGTCGTCGAGGAAGTTGAGCTGTGAACTTCTGCATTGTGCGTTTCCTTGACGCTAATGGGGATGACAGTCGTCTTCTGTTGTGTTTTTCAGTCTCCTGTTGGTTAGATGGCGTATTTACCATGCGAATGCCTTCTACATTTTAATGAAGTCAGTTTTATAACATCAGAAAAGAGTTGATATAGTACAAGAGGAGCTAGGACAATACCTTCTTGGTCACAGTGATTGTGAGGATGCCATCTGACGACATGACAGGCGTGATGGATGTCATGTCAGTGGACTCAGGCAAGGAAAAGCTGCGTCTGAAGGTGCGCGAGGACCCGGCCGAAAGGGCCTCCACCAGCAGCTCCTTCTCGCCCATCAGCTTCACCTTCACATCTCCATCCACAAAGTCATGCATGTCCAACACGATCTGTGACATGATTCACGGTATCAGTAAACAAAACAAGTTTTATTCGTCATAAACGTAAGAATTATTGGTTATAATTTTGAACGTGTAGTCTTCATGCTACTTACCTTATAACTAATATTATCCGAAGTGACTGTAACGGCCTGGTTGTCACTCCACAGGTTCCGATCGCAAAGCTGTCAGCGAGTCTGTCGCTGCGGTGGAAGTCGTCCTCGTCCCAGAAGTCCGCCAGCTGGAGGTCGGCGTCATTCCAGCCGTTGAGGACCTTCCTGATGGAGGCGTCGAAATTGCGGTGTATACCGGAGAAGAATGAGTCCTGGAAGAAGTCTCCCCTTCGAGTGATGGCAAGAGAGTGTCCCTCGAACCGCGGTGAAGTCTAGAGGAATCAGCTGTTCCTTTGGTCCCAAAAATGGCATGAACAAGTTTCTTTTCGTGCAGAAGACGAGTGTTCTGAGTCTGTGCTAAGACTTGACTGTGTAGTTTCCGATTCGTCGTTTGATGCCATTTGTGTTCGAGTTTGGCTGACTTTCTCACAGTTATTCAAAGTGGAAGTCTGAGTGATGATATTTTCCTTTGTAGTTTCCGATTTCTGTGAGGTAAAATGTAACATAACATTAGTATCAATATATATTGGGTTTTCTTTACAACATTAATTTTCATATATAAATTGATTAGGAGAAAATCCTTGACTCACCATTTTTGGCGCAGTGATTGTGAGGATTCCATCTGTGGACAAGACGGACGTGATCGCTGCCATGTCTGTGTGTCGAGGCAAAGAAGTAGCGTCTGAAGGAGTGTGACGAGACGGACAGCTTCCTTCCTCCTTCCTCTCCACGTGTCCTTCCACCAACAGCTCCTCCTCGTCCAACACCTTCACTCTCACATCTCCACACACGAAGTCATGCACGTCCAGCACAATCTGGGAAACAGAATTTATATGCTATGATTTTAGCTTTTGTGGATTTGATCTGCGATTTTACACACTAGTTAAGTGTCTTGTTTAACAGACAGTTGTTTTACCGACTCACCTTGTGACATGTATTGTCAGATGTGACTGTGACAGCCTGGTTCTCTTCCTTGAGGTTGCGAGATCGAAGCTGTCTGTATCGGTCCATAATATCCTCCCGGCGGAAGTCTTTCGCTTGGAAATCGTCGCCACTCCATCTGGCCAACACCTCCCTGACG